CTCTATATATATACACACATACATACACATAAATACATTTGAAGGAATACAGCTGCAGTCTTATGTATACATACCAGGAGTAAATTGTTCAGAATTTAAGTTTAATTCTGAATAGATATGTATACAATTGCACTTAAATCCAAGTTTGAAATTACTTACACTTTTAAAAGAAGCTGCAAATTCAGCAACACCTGGTACTGAAGACAAGACAGACAGTTAATGAAATTTAGTTCTTTTTACATTTTTTCTACAACTTCAAAGGCAATTACAATTTCTGTCACTCAGTTAAATTCCTAAATTTCTATCTTATCTTACTTTAAGCTCAATTCTGATACTGAGTCAAGCTGTTAAATACTGTTTCTATAACATTTGTATATAGTGTTTAGTGACTATTTGTATTATGCTATTGTTCTCTGGTATGTCACCAAGACATCTTTCCATCCACGCTACTTTTTTTTTTTAATAAAAACTATAGCAGTTACAGTATAAACCCTACATGTCTATTCACAACGTTCAGTATGATTTATTTCCAGGTAAATGTACATAGGCTCAACAGAATTTACTTCTGAAATAAAATGTGCAAAATTACCTTCTTGAACTCTTTTAAATCTCTGCCTATGAACAAACATGCCTAAATCTCAGCATGTTAAAAGCAATATCTATTTTAATTGGACAGCCCGTGAGAGATTCATCAGTATAAAGAAACACCATTAAAAAGCCACATCTGACTTATCACAGTAAAAATCCATACATATGTACTTCCCATACCAAGAATATCTTGCCTAGTCGTTTCTTTTCTTTTGCCCCAATTGAAAACAACTGTTCTTTTGGAAAGCAGTACTATAAATGTGAATATAATCATTTATACAACATTTACTGTTTGCTTTATAGGAAGGCAATAAGATCCTACTCACCTACCTCTTCCAGTAAAACTAAGGAGTGAAGAAAACTTCATGACAATAGACAATATTCAATTCCTTATATAGGTCCTGATTCTCTTTTGTACAACCAAACATTTAGAAATATGGGAGAGAAATATAGAGACCCCTTTCCAATTATATAAAAATATACCTCACCTCTTAACTACTGAATGAATAGGGAATAACCACATATTTCATTAACACAACTTTATTATATTTAAATGTAAATTAAATAAGACAAAACGTAATTTTTATTCTGGCTTTGCATACTTTTTGAAGCAAGTGCCCTGGCATTTAGCTTTTTAAAAAACTAGGTAACCCTGAACTAGATGAGCTATACAGCATTATATAATATTGAGTATACTCCTTGAATATACATTTTTTAATGTTGTTCTAGGATCCATTCAAAAACTTTAAAAACTTAGATGTACCTCTCAAAAAAGGGTCTTTTTTCACATCTTAGGAAACTAGTATGTACAAAGTCTAATTATTAATCCTTACAGTAGCATCTTACTAGAGATATCAACTCTTTAACTGTAGGTTATAAATTGGTTCACATTACAGTAATCCACAATGATTTACTTCTCACTCAACTACTACTTACATTGCTCTGGCCACAGGTCTGGAGATGCCCTGTCCAACTTTTCAAAGCTCAGCAATGAGGCTTCCAAGTCTGAACCTAGAATTATATCAATGATCATATGTAGAAGAACCGACCCTAAGCAAAAAAGTAGTAGCACCATTTTAGGCTAGTGTGTAACATTTACCTGTGGTGTACAGAACTTCTTAAGATGTGGCCTGGAATGTGAAAAAGGAACAATTTGCCTCCCAAACTGCACAATTTCAGTGACACTACACTGATAATGCTATGCTCCTATGAATACTTTTTTGGAAGATTAAGCTGAACTATTCTGGCCATGCATCCACAGAATGCACTGCAATAGTTACTAAGAAGAGATCAGATTCTGCAACTCCCAAATCATCATAAGAAGCACACGATTTATCCAAATCAGATCATTAATTCGTGAGCTCTGCACTGCTTAGGTCTGTGATTCTTAAACTGTTTACACAATTATCCCTTTTCCTAGCCTCAAATAATCTCATGACCCTCACAAAAAACAAAACAAATCAAAACAGACTGTTATTTTACACATGTGTCTCAACAGCAGCAGTCCCAAACTGGATCCTCAGCTCACAAACGGGCAATTACAAATTGCTCCATTACCCCCAGGATATGTCCAAATTACCTCCTTGGCGGCAATTACCCCCAGTTTAAAAACCACTGGCTTAGGTCCTTTCTTACTGCTGAGTTAAGTGCTACCCACTCATCCTTGAACTTGCAGAATAATATACCAGCATTACCAATTCCTAACCTCTCTTACTACCTTTGTTCCCAATCACCTGATTTCCCTCCATGGTAATGGATGACAAAGCCTAACAGATTTTGAACCCCTTTAGGCTATCCTTGGATATGTCAGAATAAAGAGGAAAACAAGATGTTATCACTGGTACAGTAAGGACAACTTAAGCCTGTCTTTTTATCAGCTTAAGATAAGAGGAAAGAAACCTCACCACAGGACAGAAAAAAGGAAGGGCACGTTTGTACCAAGGTTAGGTGTAACCATGAGGAAAGGAACTTCCTGTGTCTAGCAGCCCCTTTCCAAGATCCCAAGAGAGATTTTTCCCCCAAACTTTGTTAATTAAGAAACAGAACACTTTTTACATGTGGCTCATCTGCCCAAGGCTGACCTACCACAATCTTCCCTGGCCTGGTGGCTTCCAGCATGCAAGGAACTGCAGGCTAATACATTGGGAGGTCAAATTGGGAAAGACCGATTTACTCCAGAATGATAACATTCACCTTGTGCTCCACTGTTGGCACTTAAAGAGGCAAAGCACAAGCCACCTGTCATTTCCCTGTAGTAACTGTATAGATTACTAAGAACAGGATCAAACCAACTAGAGATCTACTTTAAGTTCTAATGGTCATTTTAGTAACAATTTGTTTCGCAATGAGCTTCCGTCGAACAAGACCCTAAGCACGTTCATTCAGAAGTGAAGTACCATTATACCAAAAACAGAGCGTTCCCACCTGCGTTTACAGGGGGCTACGGCTAATAACCCCCATAATCAATACATGCTTACTCAAAAACAGATAGACTGCAAGCATAATATGTAGGAAGACAGAATATTACAAACCTCTCCGTCTTCCTCAACGTCTCTTACCTTCCGTAGAGACCGCCATCTTAGCCCATCACATGACAACCAATTCCCCACCCACCCCTTTCACGCGGGAGTCTACTATGACAGCTCCTTTTCGAACAAGCCAGAAACGCTCCGCCCCCTTTTTTCACATTCTGCCTCTTTCTAAACTCCAGGGGTCGTAACTAGGGAAAAGAAATTATCCACTCAGGTTCCGCTTGGAGGGGGCGTTTCCAGCCAATAGCCAATAGAATCCTCCACTTCACGGGGCAGGGGCAAGTTGGGCACTTTCAACATTCTATTGGCTTGAGAGAGCGCCCCGAAGTGGGGGAGAATGTGGGTCGGGTTGTGATCCCATTGGCCAAAGGCAATGTGTGGGTGGAGCCCAGCTGTTGAGCTGGTAGTGGGCAGAGCCCTCGTCGGCAGGTGGTCGTTAGCAGAATGGCGGTTGTGGCTGCAGTTCGGGGGTCCCAGGGAGGGCGGCGCTTCTGGTTCGAGGTGAGGTCGCGTGAAAAAGACGGAGCGTCTCCGATGGGCGGGGGTTCGTCTGGTCTGCACGTGCGGAGTTCGGGGCTGCCATTTGAGTGGCGGGGAGGTCTTTCTCACCCGTGGCATCTTGTGCGCTGCTCTGCTCCACACATTGAGCGACTTCTGTTCCCGAGGGCGGGTGGGGAGGCTGTTCCCTAAAGGCGGTGGCGTTTTGCTCTGGAACGGGATAGACCCTCGACGATGGTCCTGCTGGCCGCCCCTCCGTACAAGAGCCTTAACATCTAGGTCGCCCTCGATGAGGTCATGCAGCTGGCAGGACTAGCTTAGGGTTTTGTGAACTTCAGAACAGCGGCGAGTTAACTTAAGGGCTGCTTCAGAGAAAGAAAGCAGGGGCAGGTTCTCAGGATCTGTGAAAAATTCTGTTCTGCGTAGGCACAGTTGGCTTAACAACGGCCTTGTCTGATCAAACCAAGGTCCATTAGGTCTCCGCTGTGTGCAAGACGCAGAGTACGCTGGAACTCCAGCAGAAAACGACAAGCTGCCCACCCTTTAGTTCGGAATTCTCCTGCCTTCTTCTTAAAAGCTCTCCTGAATATAGGATAGCCTTGTACAGGTTTACTTTGAAGTGTCTGTTCACCTGTAAGAATGCCAGGTGGTGAGCTGCTCTTGCAGGGGGACCCGATGAAAATTGGGACCCAAGGAGGGGGCTTGTGGACTGCAAAAGAGTGCAGACAGGCCTCCTGCACCTTATTTGCAGATTCCCGGGCCTCCCAAGAGGACTTTCTAAGGCAATAAGGCTCCTAAATCTTAGGAATTTGAAGTGAGGTACAAGTTGCATAAATAAATAAACCTCCCCCAAATCAGTCCTGTTTTTCCCAGGGTGGGGGATGATAGTGGTGCTTGTTAAGGAGCATTATGCTTCTTTTAAAGGGAACATTGTGACTTCTCTTTTCTCCATACAACATAGTTATCTACATTCATTTCTTTGCTAGGAAATGAGTGTGGTAAAGAAATAACATATGGACTATAGGCCTGAACTGTCAGGCCTCTTTCAAGTGATAATGTTCCATTAATTTACTGTCATGGAGTTCAGATGCAATATGAGGTGGTTAAGCTATTGGAACAGGATCGATTTGAGTCCATCTTCTGCTGTGGAAATTCACTGGATGAAACTTTGGATCAGTTGTATGCTATCATTGTGGGGATAAAATGAAGGAAGATTCTGAGCTCCTGGTGAAAAGGACAGATATAAATCTAATCAGCCAATAAGTACTGGAAATGCTTTAGTGTTGAATTAGAAGGAAACAATACAGAATTCCTAGACAGAAGCATCACTCCTTTTGGCTTTCTTTAAGACCCATAACTAGAATGACCTGTTCAAAAATATTCTTTTCCATGTAGAGAAAAAGTGGTAAAGAGAAACAGCAATAGCTTAATATTCAAGAGACAGTACTATACAATACTTTGTAGTACTGATGGCTTCTAAATATCTTTTCCTGCAACTGCCAAGTGCCAGGATGTGAATAGTTCCTAAAGTTAATGCACTGTATATAATCATGTAAAGAATGAAGGTCTGTGAGATCAATTACTGGTAGAGGGTTTGAACCCCATAAAAACATCTGGCTACCAGCATCTGATAATTCCCAATAAAGATGAAACCAGTAATGTGATGCCTCCTGGCGGTCGGTGTAAGTACAATATTTTATGGCTGAACTTGTTCAGATTTACTCTTGCCTCTACTGTACCGCCTTTCAAATTATTGTAAGTTTCAGAGTTATCTTTTTGCATAAGAGGCTATGTAAAGCTTCAGTTAAAGTGGTATTGCTGTGCCATTATTAATAGGAACAACCTTATTTCACTATTTTATTTGTTTGTATATGGGATCTATTTACTTCTTGAATCAACTAGGGCTACTAATACTAAAATGTATTAATAACAGAATTATTAACATGAACTTAAAAGTAAACTATGGTAATTTGGAAAACTGAGTATGAAGTGTCCTCACTTCTGGGCAAGTTTAAGTTAGCTGGATTTCTTCTTGAAATGTCAGATAGATGTGCTTAGTTGGTTCTGTTTTCTTGCTTTTTATCTTATAGATCTGTAGGAAGGCAAATCTCAACTGGCATTCCTCATCCTTTATTTCATCCTCTTCAGTGGTAAGTTATTTTCTGAAAGAAAACAAAGATTGAAGAAGGCAAATCATTCTTTTGAAATCCATTTCCCCATTATGCATTACTTGGCTCAGCTTGTAGGTGGAGCATTCTGGTCAACTTTGGAGTAAAACAACAGTTAAGATTAGGGAAGCATCACTTTGCTTGGAATAATTCTGCCTTAGAGCAAAACGTATTCTTATCAGCAGAAAGGAGTAACTAGAGTGGGCATAACTGCTTACTATAACAAAGATGGCTTTAACAGTCTTGTAGATTGTACTGCCAGCAATTTTTGATCCACTTACTTTGAGTCATTCATTAACTTTAATCCAAAATAAATGATTGCTGTTTCTGTAAAAGATACTGCAAATAGCAAAGGGAAAAATAGAGTTAATATGAGTTTTAATAAGTGCAAGGAGCAAGCTGATCTTACTGGTATAACAGCACTTGGACATGTCATTAATCAGCACTTTGTATTCTACAGCCAACAACAAAATTGTTCATTGATGGCAAGTTTGTTGAGTCAAAAAGTAGTGAATGGATTGATATCTACAACCCTGTAAGTAATATTGGTTTGTTTGTTTTTGAGGCAGAAAAGAAATGACATTCTAAACTGTTTTTAAATAATGTAAATATGCAAATATTTTCCTCCTTGTTATAACAAGGTTTTGAAATTAAAGAAAAGTTTGTTTATTCTTAATTTCCTAAAGAGGATGACTTAGAAGAAGCAAATACCCTACAGGAAAATATGTGGGAGGAGAAATAGAATCCTTTGGATGAGGTTTCTCAATTCCATTTGTGCCATACCAAGACCAAACTAAACTCAATCAAAGAGCTATGCCCTCTAGAGAGAAGCTGGTTAAATTACTGATTATGGTTCTGGGTGATGCACGTTTTTAGTGCAGCTTCTTAACGCAAACTTCGTTTTGTACAAACCCATAAAAATATCACATGTTCTCATTGATGAGTCAGGAGAGGAAGCATTCATTCGAATCCAGTATTGTATAAATGGAAATCCACTAATGTGACTACACTTTTTCATCTCCCTTCCAACCATTTGCCATAATCCATTCCAGGGGATCCTCCAAAACAGACCTTGGAGGTGTTCAAAGCAGTTTTATTAATTCAACAATTAAACTTGGGAGAAGAATTTATTTGGGGCCAAGGACTGAACTGTCAGGAACAGATAATATCACTTGCCAGAATGGCATCCCAGGATTAGGGAGGGCCATTGTTTAGAGTGAGTGGTCTGGGTAAATAATCATAGACATAGAGCTCCCAGTACATTTTCATGGACCCACTTGCAAACACCACTCTTCCTGTTTCCCATTCTTTCACTCCTATCCAGTCTAAATATTGGGTCACTTCCCCCCAAGGCTCCCTGTCAGGGCTCCCTAGACAGAAAAAAGTTCTTATTTTTTTCTGCCCTGAAAATAAGAATTGGGTTTTTAAGAACCACAACAGAGGTAATGGAGGTTTTAGGACAGCTACTCCTGAGAAAAAGCAAGTTGTCATCTCCTTGCCATATCTTTTCAAGCTGCACGAGATTTAAATTTTTTTTTTTAAAGCCTAATTTAATCAAAAAGGGACATTTTTCATTGGGGAAGAGGACTTCCTTCAATTGCTAGTGATTTTATGGCTATTTCCATGTAGTTTTCTTGACAAAAGTACATAAATGTTGCCTCCTTCCAGAATATTTAATTATTGTGCAGCTAAGCCCTCTTGGAGGTTTTTTAAAGTTGGATTCCTCCAACAACTTTAGCATAACACTCTTATTTCTAATCAGCTGTCTGTGCCCAGATTAAGGGAAAGCTCGTATCTTCAATCAGCAACCGGTTGGAGATAAGAATTTTTCTCTGTCTACAAAGAGAGGTGGGGCTGGGAAATAAACCTACTGATTGGTCATACCTGCCTGCTAGAAGTTTCCTATTTCTGCTTTATGTGGAGCAACATAAATATTCTTAATATTTGCTTGGAAAACTATATGATCAGTATACTGTCTGCATAATACACTGATTTTACAGTTTTTTATTACTACATCATTAAAAACAGCAATATTTATACGTTCTAAATATCTTTACTTTGAACTGGAAGTGGCACTGAGAACTCCTCCCAGAGTAGTGGAAATTCATGCAGTCTAAAAAACTCTTGGATGGCTACCGGGAGAATTTCAGTTGTTGTAAATAATCATTTAATTCTGTGGGAATGTTATTCTAAAAGGCTACCAATGAAGTTGTTGGTCGAGTCCCAAAAGCCACACAGAGTGAGATGGAAGCAGCAGTGGCTTCATGCAAAAAGTCTTTGCCAAACTGGTCTGAGATATCTATTCTGAGTCGACAGCAAGTTTTCCTGCGGTACCAGCAGCTCATCAAGGATAATCTGGTGAGGAATTAGTATGCCCTTGACTCACTGATTTCCCCAAACAGCCAATGCAAAGAGGAACAAAGTTGGGTTGATATGTCTAATTAAATAATGTTCACCTATTCAGGAACCATGTATATATTCCATATAGACATAATTTATATAAGTGTAGGGGAACATCTGTTATATTTGTTCTTTCTTTTGCTAACATTGTATCAAGCTTTGGTCTTTGATTTTTATAAAAAAAATTGATAAAAAAGTAGCACTCTGAGTCATCTCTCCTTTTCTGGGATACTTGGCCTACTGCAGAACAGTGTGTTTTTTCTAGAAACTTGCTGAATTGTTGGGGGTTTTCCTCATATATGTGGATTCTCTTTACTTCTTATCTACAGAAAGAAATTTCAAAACTGATCACCTTGGAGCAAGGGAAGACCTTGGCTGATGCAGAGGGAGATGTGTTCCGAGGCCTCCGTAAGCTGTTTGTGTCTGCCTCTTGCTGTACATGGAGAATAGCTTTCTTGAGCTACAGGAAGATGAGAATGTTTCCAAACAACATAACTCTCAGGATTTCAGGAGCATAGCCCTCCCAGAACTTTTGTATGAGGGATTTCATTGTTGTTGTTGTTGTTTAGTCGTTAAGTCGTGTCTGACTCTTCATGACCCCATGAACCATATTGCGCCAGGCCTTCCTGTCCTTCACTGCCTCCCTGATTTCATGCACCATAGTAATTATAAATAGCTTTTTCATGGTTTTTGCTCAGTCTTCATCCCATTTTCCTCCACTTGGGAGGGACTGTGAAGACCATTTTGTCCAAATTTCTGCTCAGTGGAGATTGCAATTAGGGCATCCCTGTGAGATTATCAGCCTTTGCTTTAAATGCCTCCAGCAAAGGAGAACCGGCATCTTCTAAGGTAGCCTGCTTAGGCTTTGATAGTTTATTTTCTTCCTTTTCCCTCTTATTTATTATGTATTTCTTCCATGTGTCTCCTGCCTTTCTTCAAGGTTCTTCCTCTGGATCATAGCACTTTGGGGCACAGTTTGGTGGTTTCTGGATGCAGGTTCCTCAGATCTAAAATGGCCTGAGGTGACTTGGATATGGCATTCCTAAATTGCTGAATTTTGCATATCCCTAATCGCAAAGCCTCTTAATGGGCTAGTGTAGAATTAGCTATGATTATTGAGAGTTGCATTATACTTTGGTATAACTAGGTCCTCTCCTCACTCACGTACCACTTTTGCTGCTACCACTGCCAGTTTGGCAGAAAGTCCAATTCTTCCTGCAAGGCTTAGGAATAATTGAGTGCATATATTTGTATATGCATGTGACAGAGTGACAGAAAATTCAGGACAAGATTACTGGGCTATGGGGTTCATTGTCAGAGTTTAGGGGTATTACAGAACTTTCACATGGATGTTGAGGAAATACCTGTGAATTCAGGGAGTCAGAGATAAGAATCAAAGAAACTAGAATAAAGGAATGACTGCAAACATTTCTGCTGAAAAAGTAGATGCATTTGAAGAGTATTGTCGAAGGTTTTCACGGCCGGCATACGATGGCTGGTGTGGGTCTTCCAGGCTGTGTGGCCGTGTTCTGGAAGTTTTGTTTCCTAACGTTTCAATTTGACGGAACGCCAACTCGCGCCAGAAGAAACCGCCATCCTAGCCAAGGGAGGAAACTTCGCAATCACCCCCCCCCCCCCACTCCTTCCCTGGAGCTGGACCTCGGCCAACGGGGAACAGGCATCTGGCCC